TACTTTACGATAAAGTAACACTGTAATTATCTTCAAATTAATCACTAGAACTGTAATTCAAATTAATCATAAGAAATGTAATATCAACGTATATATTATTTGTATAAATTATCTAAAAATTTCACTATTTTGAGCAGCCTTTATTAAGTATGAAGAAGATTTTATTTATATCTAATGTGCTATTATAAAATGAGATTGAACTGACAATTTTGATATCGCACCAATTTTCCATTGCATTGTTGAACTGCGGCTGTGGCTGTGGCACATAATCATATAACCCGTAATTTTTAGGGCCGCCCTGGTCATATCGTATGCTTTAGTCTAGTGTTACCAATTTCCAGCACAGGTTTTTAACAGCCACCCTGCCTTGATTAGTACGTCGGAAGTACATCAAGTGTAACCCGGATTTGCATGAGGAAAGCATCTTTTTGCGTTGTGAATACAAAGTAAAGTATATAATTGGAAATTTACTTTGTAACAACGCAAGAAGATGCATACCCGGTGTGCAACATATAAATACAATATTCTACGTACCCAACATTTTGATGCTAGATTATATAAGCATAACATGTACTACTAGCATACCGTAAATATGTACAAGGTTGTACTCTGGATGAACACGGGATGAGTCGGACAACTACTCCGGACTTAAAGACCTGGTCCTGAGTCCAAATCTAGGACCTAAGTCCCGGACTTAAGGACCTGGTCCTGAGTCCAAATCTAGGACCTAAGTCTTGGACTTAAGGACCTGGTCCTGAGTCCTAGACTTTCTTATCTCTAATTAGGACCCATAGCAGACCTATAGACCTAGGTCCCAAAATTAGGACCTGGTTTTTAAAAACTAGGTCCCAAGACCAGGTCCTAGAGTCCTGGTTCCAAGGACTTTACCATCCCTAGGTATCGCACAAAAAATGTGCGGCAGTTCCTCAATTTTGATTGGCCAAAAAAAATTAAACCAGAATTGCCTATTAAGTGAAAATTGTTCCTGGGTCAATTTAATATAATATGTGCTTATTTTTTAAAAATTTCTATTTTTGTAATGAAAAAATTAAAAAGTTAACTCTGGCCGGAATTTAGTAAACAATTTTGTAATGCGGACCAAAATTTCAAAGATCTTCGGCCGTTAGCCAATCAAAATCGAGGATATGCCGCACATTTTTTATGCGGCACCCAATGTAGTGTGACAGACGTCCATCACATGATTTGACAGATTTGAAATATAGTAGCGGAGAACAATAATCGCACACCCATATATCTTTTTTTTATTATAAAATAGTTTTTATTTGTATATTGTTGTTCTGACAATATTTTTTATTTAATAAAGAAAAGGGTCCGCTTGCTTTACCATTTTTTATTTTACTATAACATGATTTTTATGAAATAGAAGAGGGTACATAATGAGGCTTTATTTCTAAAGTTACGCATATTCAATGAATATTAAATGATGCTTTTTTAATTCTTTTTTATACAGAGTAGTAGAAACACTCTCTATATCGCTTCGTCACATAGCAAATCCTTACGTTCTTTATTGCAAATTAGATTCCAATACCAATATCATATAAATTTTTGTGCATAATAAAGTATAATAATTTGATTTGTTGATTATAAATTTTATGTAAAGACTTTAAGTATATTATTAAAATCTATATTCACTCCACATCCTAATACAAGATGCCTATTCTATTTTATCTTGTACTATTGAATTGCAGTAATAATATTTTCTATGGACAAATAGCCAAGATATAGAGCACGAGATAGACAAGCTGTTTTGGGTATTGTTGCAACTGAACCAACACTTGGATTTGAATTTGGAAAGAGGGTTTCAGTAGTCGGAACAACAATGATTGCAAATTCTGTGGTCGGACAGTGGGTTGAACACGTGCGAATTTATTTATAATATTATCATAATCCCCAGAATTATCATAGGTCATCTATCAAAATTTTAGCCGATTGTCAAGAAAATAGTTACATAGTTCTGAAGATAAGGGAATAAGATCTTCACCTTGATCCATAGCAATGGTGGTGGGCATGGATTAATTATGGAAAAAATTCTTTGATTAAGTGCTGGTTTAGGGTTCCAACCACCCATATCAGGTTGATACTAATTACCGTTAACTACACATATATTATCAATCTGATTCCACCAAGTTGGAAGTTGTTGATCAAACGAATTCACCAATTTCTTATGTGCTTCTGATTTAATTCTTCCATTAAACTAAATAGTAACAAATAATTAGAAATGTAAAATAATTATAAAACAAAATGGTAACCCACTTTGATAAATAATTTATTGTCAACAATTTCAGCATTAAAAATATTATGAATCGCTTCAAAAATTTTGTCACATTTTTTGCCCTTGGCCTTTATACGTGGCAATTCAAGTTCTATAATATCTACATTATGTACTTTGTGCAGTTCTGCATTAACTTCATTTTCGATTTGAGTGATCACCTAAGAGAAACAGATTGTTGGCTTATTCAAAATACATGTTTCAAACAAAAATGGAATACATTATTAACGTTAATACCTTAGATTCTGTATTATCCTGAATCAAGTTAATTAGCTTTTTTAGAAAGTGATACAAATTTCTTTGTATGTTTTGTACTATATCGATACGCATTCTTTTTTTATAAGTAAATATTTATTTCATGTTTATTGATCAATAATAAAACAGTACCTTTACTACTTGAACGACCGCCAGCTCCACTAACCCTTCCACTAACCCCAAAGCTACTCTCTGTTTCTGAAGCTGTGGTTGCCATTATGCTAAAAAAAAATAAATTGAAAGTACTATCACTATATACAAATTTGACTTGAGAGCACGTATTTATGGTGCAATATTAATATCACCTGATCAGTGTGGTTTTTCATACTATACCTCGAGAGAAGCCTTAATTTTTCCCTACAGTTGTGATTGGATGCATGAAATCCCATCTTTAATTGGACAAACTTGATCATGCCACCTTAGCACCATCACAAAATCAAAAAACATCGTTTTTTTTTAAAAAAATATATATATATTCAAAATATTTTTTTAAGTGTAAGTATTTTATTTATGCACTTCCAGAATTCTTTCTGCGAAATAAAAAAAAAAAAAATCGAATTTAAAACAGGTAATTTTCATAAAGTTTTTGTTTGGTACTTTATTCTCAAGAGAATAAAATTTGCTGAGACCTACATTTACAAGCTTATAATTTTAAAATACAACCAAAATTTTTCAAAATTTCTTAACTATATACTTGGCCACGATTTTTACTTTAAAAATAATTAATTGACACGAACATTTAAATGTTTCAAGTACATTTTTATTGATACTAATACAATATTGCAGATAAATAAAATGCTATGGTAAAGTGCTAATTAATAGATTTGTTTTAATACTAATACAATAATAATTTTCAAAAGCCTGTGAATTCTTTTTCAACATACTAAATTATTTAATGTATTTTGTTTTAATAGAATTATTATTGTAAGGAAACTAAATTCAAATAGACAAGTGTTGAAATAAACATAAATCAATGAGCAAATAAAAATTTTTAATTTCCAAATGTTCATGGTTTTTAACACAATATTTAGCAAGATGCATCTTGCTAAATATCGGTTTTCTTGAAAGTGTGCATCAATACCATTAATTATGTCTTTATCGATTATTTTAATAAATGTTGTATATTTAAAAATCATCTTCACTCTAAGGTGTCTTTGGAGTATCTGGAAAATCATAATCATCATCATTTTGTAACTCAGGAGACATTTTCTTTAAACATTGCTTAAATTCTTCATTGCTGATAACAAAAAGAACCTTTCCCTGTATGCAATTAACTTTTTTTGAAAAAAAAATTTAAATAAATTACATCTGAGGTTACAAGAAATTTCTAAACTTAAACGTACCATCGAAGCTAAATCTTTTTTAAGATTTTTTATTTACCTTAGCATCGAGCATATCATGGATCATTTTAATCAAGTCATCAATATTAGAGGGTTTCAGAATTAACTTTTTTCAAGAGTTTAAAAGGACCTAATTAAATAGGCATAGTCGGTGATAAAATTAGCTTTTTTTTTGATAAACATTCATCGGTAAACGATTATGTAAATAAGTACATACTTTAAAAAAAATAGAATTTGTACGTTGCTTATTTTGAAATAAATACGTCACTTATTTTATCTGAAATCGGACGCCGAATCATTAATTCTGAAAACCCTATTGGCAAGATCTGTTGGCACCTTGCTAAAAGGATATCTAATATCATATAGACTTTCGGTAGACCAGAAAGGCTTCACTGCCAACAGAAAGCCAGAAAACGACCATGCAGTAGGATGTGTCTCTTCGAAGTAGGAAATTGCCGTTGAGTCTTAACATTTCAAATTTTTTAGTAAATGTCACCAAATGAGTTGGGGTACCAAATAATCTTCATTTCGAAGTTTCTTTTTTTTTTACGCGTTTCGTGTATGTATAAAATTACCCTTATATAGTCAAAATTGTCGAATCTAAATTCCGGCCTCCGGTCATGTGGGCGGCGCTACCCTATCGGGAACGTGATTAACCAATCAGCCGCGAGAGAATTATCTACATTTTTACCGTACAGCGATATACTCATCGATCAAATATCAAAGAACAATAATGTCGAATAATTCCTGTAGAAAGTCTCCATTAGACTTATTCAATGATTCCACAAAACCTTATATAAATGTATGCGCGCCAATGGTTAGATATAGTAAACTGCCGTTTCGAGAACTGGTTCGTGGGTAAGCTTTAAACCCGGATTTCGCGTTATAAATCAATTTCATATACAGATTTCATAAAAATTCATATTTTCTTCAGTTATAATGTAGATTTAGCTTATACCCCAATGATTTTAGCAAAAGAATTTAAAAACTCGAGTTTTGCTCGGGATTTCGATTTTAGTACTTCTCCTACGGATAATCCACTAATTATACAATTCGCAAGCAACAGTCCAGTGGAACTTACTAAAGCTGCAGAACTTGTGATCGGATACGTCGATGGAATTGGTAAATTTTTTCGTTCACATTCTTAGATTTAAATCATAAAAATTATATTTATTTTTTTTATTGTAGATCTGAATTGTGGGTGTCCACAAAAATGGGCCTTAAATGAAGGTATAGGTGCACACTTAATAGATAAACCAGAGCTAGTAAAGGATATGATTCGAACGGTCAAGGGTAGCGGTGTGAAGTTACCGTTTTCTATTAAAATCAGGATTCATAATGATATGAGGCAAGTTTTACGATTTGGATAATTGGCTTAGAAGAAAAAATCTTTTTAAATAGATGAGTAATTTAATCTTTTTTATAAACTTACATTTCCATTCCCTTTCCTTCCGGATTTCTGAATACAAAAGAAAAACTTTAAGTTTTACAAAAAATGCTGAATCAGTAGGTGTAGATTTTATTGCGATCCATGGTCGTACACGTCGTCAAAAATCTACTTCTCCCATAGATCTAGACACCATAAAACTCTGTAAAGAATCTTTACAAATTCCAGTAATAGCAAACGGTAACGTCTTTTCCTTGAAAGACGCAAATCTATTATACGAGAATACTAGGGTTGATGGTGTGATGGTAGCTCGAGGTATACTTAAAAATCCAGCATTATTTACAGGTTGCGAAAGCACACCTTGGGAATGTGTGGATAAATTTATTAAATTAAGTCTGGGGTTGGGAACCACACATTATATTTTCCATCATCATTTGTAAGTTTATTCTAAATTAAGAATTATTCTGATTTTGATTACTATTTCATTTTTCAATTTTTTTTTTTTTATTAAAAAAAAGGATGTATATGTTTGAAGACTTTATGAGCAATGCCGAACGAAAAACGTTTAATACGTTGACTAGTATACCAGCAATTATTGATTATTTAGGAGAACATTATGGGTTAAATATAGACTAAGTACCAAGTTGGTACTTAGTCTATATTTTGTTCTCTTAAATAATCAATAATTGCTGATATACTAGTCAACGTATTAAACGTTTTTCGTTCGGCATAGTGGTTGGACCCGTCTGAAAAATCATGACCCGGGTAACCCGGCGGGTCACCCGGGTGGATAAATGTAAAATAACATAACATTTCTATAATTATAATATGAAATTAATAAAATTTTTGATGAATTGCACAGGAACTATACTAGAACTGATTCATAACATGCCAGTATAATATAATACATTTCTACCTCTTTTTAAACAACTCAAGCACCTAGTTACATTACCTAATTTTTCATATCAGATATTTTTCTCTTTCTGCATATACTGTAACAAAATTATCATCTCAT